ATCCTTTCTCTGTACTGTCCACAACTATTACAAACTCAGTGTTAGTATAGTAAGTGTTCCAGGAAGAATGAAGAGATTCTTGGCCACCAATATCCCACATAAGGAAACGTGTATTATTAACTATCTCTTCTACATTACTTCCAATTGTAGGGGATGTATGTACAACTTCATTCATAGAAAATTGGTAAAGGATGTTAGTTTTCCCTGCATTATCCAGTCCAACAATGATAACTTTGTGCTCCTGATGATTGAACAGTCTCCATATCCAGGTAAGAGAATTTCCATTCTCGGGCAGCGGCCCCCCCCTCCAGCCACCCGGGCCTGCTGGCTGCCCCAGGCCCAGGCTGAGGCGGAGGAGAGAGACGCGCCAGAGCCTCCGCCTCTGCTGCTGCTGCTCCCGCGTCTGCCGCCAGCCTGCTTCCCGGGAACTGGAGGGAGGCCGCAGCTCAGACCAGCGAGGCCCCGCCACTGCCGCTGCGGCACTCACCTGGCTCCCGGACATCGGACAATCGCCGCCTCGTTGTCTGCCGCGTCTTGATGTTCTAATGCAATTTTCATTGTCTTTTCTGACATCCATTTGCATTTTTTTTTCTTTCTCCTCCGTCTTTGATGTTTTTGAATGGTTCTGCTGGTTTTCAATCACTGGTGTTCAATGCCTCAAGTCTGTACTTGAAATGATTCTTAAGTTCATCTGGGATAGACTCAAATTTGTATTCTGATTATTGTGGACTAGTCTAAATTTTCTTCAGCTTCAATTTGAACTTGCTCATGAGTAATTTGTGTTCTGTTTCACAAATTGCACCTGCTATGGTTCTGAAGGATTAAAATGAAAAAGAAAGGAAATATAACTAACAATAAGTTAATGATGAAGATGTAGTCACTTCAATTCTCACAAAGTTGGTGTAAAGTCAAATGGTGCAGTCACTGTCAGAAATACTTTCAAAGCTTCTTATAAAATTAAAACATACATTTACAATGCCATCCAAGAATCCCACTCCGAGGTGCTTCGATGGTGGTGTAATATGTATTTTATTTCTCAATAAGTCTGATATAAAACTTTTTAATAACATTTCAATATTTTACTTAAAAAATATTAAAGCACAGTACTGTTACCTACTCTTCCTCTCCAGCATTCTAGGTGTTAAACTAGCTAGAACCCTATGGATATCTATCCTATTGAGCAGATTAAGTGGATGGTTTTCCCCTCGTAGACCTCTGCACATTCCTAGGCCACTGTGGGGAAGGTTGCCAGGGCATGCAAGGCATCCGAGTGAATGCTCGTTATTGAGACGCTAATAAAGCGAGTCTTGTTTGCTGGACAGCTGTTGGCTTCATTGCTCTTTTGTCGCACACAAAACGGAGAGCTGCTATGCTAATGGCATATGGCCTCCTTACTGGATAGTTGTTACATCACGCCTCGAAACACTGCCTGTGAAGTCCATTTTCCCCATGCACCACACAGAAAAACGAAAACAGAACAAACAAAACAACAAGAGGCCAAGAAACGTATGAAATGAGCAGTACTAGCCCTTTAAGTCAGGGAAACTATTACTAATAATTCTTATTTTTTATCAATAGTTAATACTCGAGTTAGTTTTTAAAAGAGGAATTTTTTTTCTTATTGTATTCTCTTTAACATTTAACCTCAATAGAGTCTTTTCTTAAGGGTACAAATAATAACAATATTCTCCAAAATACATTTTGTGGCACACTCTGTGTTAATAACACCTTAGAGTAATTCCATGTTATCAAATGTCAGCCCAGATACTTTGCCTTTTTCAGTGTGGTCATTTATTGACTGTCTTCATGTGAACAATTGCATTCAAACATTTTTTTGATCATTACCTGTACAGCAGTGTGTGTGTGTGTGTGTGTGTGTGTGTGTGTGTGTGTGTGTAACGAGCTGTGACTAAAAACAACTCACTGCTCCTGAGTTAGCACCAACTCACAGCTGACCTTCCAGTGGGTTTTCAGAGGTGGTAAATTGCACAGTAGGAGATCACCCATCTTTCTCATGTGGGGCAACTGGTGGATTCAAACTGCCTGCCTTTGGGCTGGCTGTGTAGCCCTTACTCACTCGGCCATCAGAGCGCTCTACTGTATGTGTACACATCGCTAAGTACATTCTTGTTATTGTGTGCCACCAAGTAACCTGTAACTCACAGCAACCTGATGCACAACAGCTCTGAAGCCTGCCCTAATCCAGAGCCAGTCTCACTGACTCCGACACACCTAATCCCATCACCCTAGTTATCATGTCAATCCTTCTTATCAGGGGTCCTCCTCTCCTGCCCTGTCCCTCTACCCTTCTGAGCATCATGTTCTTCTGCAAAGATGGATTTCTCCTGGCCATGTGCCTAAAGAATGTGAGACAGACCTTAAAATCCTTGCCTCAAAGGAGAAACTTGACTTCACCCTCTTTAAGACAAACCTATTTGTTCTCTTGGCTGTCCATGGTACGTATGTTCAATACTCTTCTCCAGCACCACAACTCAAAGGCATTAATTCTTCTTCTGTCATCCTTCATAACTGTCCAGCTTTCTGATGCATGGCAGGTAATTGTGAAGACTATGGCCTGGATCAGGTGCACCTGAGTCTCTAGACTGACATCATTGCTCTTTAGCACTGTGGAGACAGCTGACTTCCTTAATGCAACTGCAATTTGTCTTCTGCCTTCCTGACTGCTGGTGCCAAGAGTGTTGACTGTTGAGCTGAACAAACTGAAATTGTTAAGAACGTCAATCTCTTCTGCATCCATCACAAAACTGCCAACTGGCCTAGTGGTGAGCTCTAGTGGTCTAGTGGTAAGAAGCTGTGCTTCAATCCTGAAGGCATGTGGTTCGAGGCCATGAACTGCTCCATAGGAGAAGAATGGGCAGTCCTCTACCTTGTGATTAACTGCCTCTGAAAACCCACCCAAAGGTCAGCTACGAGTCAGTTCTGACTTTATGGTACACAACAACACCAACAACTAAAGATACTATACTCAAGTTTACCAAAGGCACACTGTTCTAACCCACCAGCTGCTCCACAGGAGAAGGACAATCAATCTCCTGTGAGGTTTACTGCCTTTGAAAACCTGCTGGAGGGTCTGCTCTAAGTCTCTTCCAAGCTAATGGCATACAGAAACAACAACTTTACAAAGTAATCATCTTCCTTGCCACAAGATTTCTTCATAACTAGTTTTTTTGTTTTCTTTTTTTAATTGCAATTTTAATGAAAGTTTATAGAGAATTTGGATTTCCATTCATTCATTCATTATTTCACATTTATACTAGTTTTTAAGAAAGACATCTTTTAAGAACCAAAAGAATCCACTGCCATCAAGTTGATACTGACTCCGAGACACTTACAGAGCAGAGCTGACCATCTCACGGGGTTGGAATCTGTATTACAGTTGATGGCCACACCACTCTTCCACTGGTGAGTGAATTCCTGATCTTCTGGTTAAGAGTTAAGTGCTTTAACCATTACATCACCAGGGCTCCCTCGTGATGCCAAAGGCTCACACAGTTCATGTTATGGCTAAGTTTTCAAATCTCTGCACAATAAGAAACAATGATCTACAGACTGCCAGCATGTTCTTGAGTCAAAGTTTTTCAGAATGTATTTGCTTTTAAACAGATGTCCCCAAAGTTGACTTATCAAACCTGCTGCTTCTCACTGGAGACTCCTAGACTTGGCCCTTGTTTGCAGCAGAGATAGGGAGGCCCTGTACCCACTGCCCCCAGCCCTGACCTTCTCAGCTGTGAGGTGCAGGGGCCTGAGCCTTCTAGGCCTACAGAGAGCCCAGCTTTGCTCTCTGCCCTCTTCCCTTTACCCTCACTGTCATTCCTTAACCTCTGCATAGTTGTTCTTGTTGATGGCCTTCAAGCCAAGCAAGACTCATAGCAACTCTATGAACAAAAGGCTTGAAGCTCCTCCACAACTACCAACATTTATCAAAGTTCATAGTTTCCAAAGGAGTGTTGTTTAGGAAGTAGACGCCACTCCTGCACAGCAAACAGGAGCAAAGCAGAATCAAGATCAACAGCATGAAGAACGAGAGCCAACACAGGAGAGAGTAAACAAAAGTTCCCTTAAACTGTTGGGTATAAGTCACGTCTATGCCCCAGGACCACAGACAGCTGAGTAAGTTTAAAACAACTGAGCAAGTCTAAAGAGGCATATAAATCAAACATGAAAAATTAGGTTAACTATTAAAAATCTGGTTTTAAAATTACTGATCAGTATTATATGAACTATATCAAGCTGAAACTATAGATATTTGTGGTAACTGTAAAGAAATATTATGTTGTTGTTGTTGTTATGTGCCATCGAGTTGCCTGCGACTCATAGCGACACTATGTACAACAGCCCTAAACTCCGCTCTGTCCTGTGCCAATCGCACTGTCTCTGACACTCCCATCCCAATTATCCCAGTCACTGAATCAATC